GACGTCCAGCTTCCACTGGCTCCTTGTTATCTTTTCGGGGCGTCTGTCTGGATTGGTAGGCCTGCTGAGAAGGGGACATCTGAGCAAAGACTCGAGGAGGTGAGAGAAGTAGCCAAGAGCGGGGAGACCAGGTCGTGGACAGCTCACAGGGGTGCCGTGGACCTTACAGGACCTGGTCTTTCTCTGAGTCCCTGGAGGCCTCGAGCGGAGGGCCAGCAGGACCTGACCTTGGCTCTGCCAGTTGTGCGTTACTGAGGCGCGGTCGGTTGTGCTTGGAAGGTAGAGCCCGCAAGTTTGCCCACAGGTGGAACGGAGAATATGGGAGGAGTCGAAGGTGACTCCAAGGTCATGGCCTGAGTAACTGAGAGGGTGGAGTTGTCCCCTCCCCTGGGGGAGGCAGGGTTAGACCAGGCCTGCGGGACGCCGGGAAGCAGTGACACGCGCCCGGCGTGGACCGGCTCACCTGTTTGACATCAGGGACGGGCGGGCTCTGCACGCCCTGGGCTGGAGCTGAGGGATGTGAGTGTGGAGTTTTCACCACGTAGGTGATGTTCGTATTCGTCTCCTTCTGCTGCTGTAATTACTGTAAATTCAGGGACTTAAACACGCAAACTATGTCTCCTGGTTCTGGAGTCAGAAGTCCCAAAGTCAAGGCATGAGCCGGGCTCGCTCCTTCTGGGGGCCCCACGGGAAAACCTGTCTCCTTGCCCGTCCAGCTTCTAGGGGCACCCAGCTCGGCCCCTGACCCCCCCTCCATGTTCAAGGCCATCATCAGCTAACCTCCTGCACCCGGCCCCTCTGTCTGCCTCCCCGGCCCCTCGGCCCCCTAAGGACCTGTGAGGACACGGGCCCACCCACATACCCAGGACAGCCTCCCCTCTCAAGAGCCGTAACTTAATCTCATCTGCAAAGTCCCTTTGCTGCCAAGTGAGGTGACGTGTCCACAGGTCTGGGTAACGGGGACCTGGAAGTTTCTGGATGAGGGGAGCATTATCCAGGTGACCCCGGTATTTAAAGCCATGGGTCTTAGCTGAAGGGGGTTTCACAGAAATTCCTGTGCGTCTCGTATGTGGATGACCCCCCCCCC